TCTCTTTAAGACAATCCTTAAAACTACCATTTCGAGCATTCCTTATAATCAGTTTTGACTGTAAACATTAACTCTCTTTCTCCCCTCACAGATGCTGCCAGACACACTGAGTATTAAAGTTTACTTACAATCTTTCCTTAACTGGCTCTGTGTCAAATGTTGTCAGATAGCATTCCTGTTGAAACGCTGGGGAAATGGTTTTACCATTTTAGAGGCTCCAGATAAATGCAAGTTGGTGCTGTTCTCTGCTTCAACTCTATGAGAATCAGCTTGTGAGTAGAAAGTGTTTGCATTTATTAAAAAAAAGCCTATCCTCATAAAGTCTCAATTTGGTTTACAGCTGAGGACATAGTTTCAGAAGTCATGGAGGCAAACATGGTCACTGATTAGGCCACAGCAAGATCCCATGGCAATATGCCTTCGCTGGTGGCAAATGGTGGATTCTGGAGCATGTCATCACAGAATTCTTATCGTGCAGAAGAAAGCTATCCAGTCCACCAAGACTGCACTGGCTCTGTTATCCAGTGCTAATCCCGTGTCTTTGTGCCATATCCCTGAACACCACTGCTGTCTAAATAACCAGCTAATGCCCAAATCAAACTGACAATGTGTCCCAATTGGCGTCAGGCATGGAGCAGTGGGTAATATTCTCACTTCTAATTTGAATGGTGGCATAAGAAAAGTCCCACACTAGAGGTTTGCACCCATAAAACAGCCCTTTAATTCACCTCACTTCTGCCAAATCAAAGGAGTGGCTATGGGTTGCAGTTATGCCTGCTTCTTTATGGGGTATGTGAAACAATCCTGGTTTCAGTCCTACACTGGCCCCCCTCCCACAACTCTTTTCTCATTACATCGATGACTGCTTTGGTGCCGCTCCATGCTCCCATCAGGACCTTGAAAAATTTGTTCATTTTGCCTCCAATTTCCACCCCTCTATAACTTTCACATTGTCCAATTCCGACACTTCCCTTCCTTTCCTTGACCTCTCTGTCTCCATTTCAGGGAATAAACTGTCCACTGCCATCCACTACAAAGCCAATGACTCCCATAGCTACCTTCACACCCCACGTCCTGCAAGGACTCCATCCCATTCTCCCAGTTCCTTCGCCTATGTCACATCTGTTTGGACGATGCCACCTTCCAAAACAGCCCTGTTGACATGGCTTGCTTCTTCCATAATGGTGGTTTCCCATCCACAGTGGTTGACAGGGCCCTCAACTGCATCCAACCTATAAGCCATGCTTCTGCCCTTACCCCTTCCCATCACTCACAACAGCGTGATCATACCTCCCTTGTCCTCACTTTTCATCCCACCAGTCTCCACATTCAAAGGATCATTCTCCGCCAATTCAGATAACTCCAGCAGAATGCCACCACCAAACACATCTTCCCCTGTCTGCATTTCACAGAAATTTTCCCCTCCGGGACACCCTAGTCCATTCATCGACCACTAACATCACCCACTGCTTCCCACGGCACCTTCCTGAGTATCCACAGAAGGTGCAACACCTGTCCCTTCACCTCCTTCCTGCTCACTATCCAACAGCCTGAACAGTCTTTCCAGGTGAAGCAGTGTGTACTGTATTCGCTGCACCCAATGTGGCTCACTCTACACTGGAGAAACTAAATGCTGACTGGGTGACTGCTTTGCAGAACACATTCGGCCTGTGTGCAAGCATGATCCCTATCTTCCCATACCCAGTCATTCTAACACAATGTCCTGCTCACATGGCCACTTGTCTGTCCTCGACATGCTGCAGTGCTCCAGTGAATCACAGCATAAACAGGTAGAGCAACATCTCATCTTCAAACTAGGCACTGGTCTTAATACGGAGTTCAAAGCCTTCAAATTGTGAACCAACACCCATTCTTTAGCTTTACTTGTTACATTCTTGGTCACCAGGTCCTCCCTCCCTTCCCCTCACCCCAGTGGCACTGTCTGTCCTTTCAAGTCTGGCAGTTAGACACATGATTGTTCTGCCATTCTTACATTCTGGTGTTCTGAGAACTGGTGTTCTGAGGAAGGGTCACCAGACCCGAAACGTTAACTTTGTTTTTGCCTTCACAGATGCTGCCAGACCTGCTGAGCTTTTCCAGCAATTTCTGTTTTGTTTCTGATTTACAGCATCCGCAGTTCTTTGGTTTTTTACCTTTCTAATGGAAATCGTTTCCTCTTATAGAGTCATACAGAACAGAAACAGACCCTTCAGTCCAAATAATCCGCGCTGACCATAATCCCAAACTAAATTAGTTCCACCTGCAGCCTCTTGTTTATTAATAGGAGTCCTCTTTAAAACTGAACTTTTCTAGTATTTCATATTTAATATTTTCTATGTAGTTTGAATGTTACAGTTTTAACTAGCTTTCCACAAATACAAGGAAGGTGATGGCCTAGTGGTATTATCACTAGATTCTTAATCCAGAGACCCAGGTAATGTCCTGGGGACCATCAAATCAAATCTCACTCATAATGTGGCTCACCTATGCTCACTAGAAACACATAAATCAACATGCTGGGACCTGTCCTCTGAAGGATAAAGTAACAGGTCCAGGCTTTGAGCTGTTCTGAATTAAATAAAAATCTGGGGAGTCAATAGTTCCATGCTGCATTCTCCATGGCAAAATCACAACCAATTAGGGCTGACGTGTCAACAAACTCTCTACACAAAGACAGTTTATATCTCATAATCACTATTTAAGCGGCTTGGTTAGGATTTGATTAACATCCAGTGGCTTCCTACCCATGGGGAAAGGCCGCCACCTAGTCTCCCATTTTCACACCTCTCCATCAATGGCCCCGACACTGCCCTGAGCAAGTGGACCATTGTGCAATATTTTTTAAAACATACGTTGAAATTCTTTGGAGACTCAGGATACTGGTCTGACCTAGAACTCTTTTGGCTGTTCTAGAGCACCCTTGCTTGGTTTGGAAATCCCATGTCTAGTCTAGAATCTTCTTGCTTGATCTGGAACTTTCTTGCTTGGCCTGAAGCTCTCTCACCTGCCTGGAACCAACAAGCCTTCTACAGAACACTATTTGTCGGGTCTAGAACTCCCGTGCCTGGCCTGGAACTCTCTTGCCTGGCCTAGACCTCACTTGCTTCTCCTGAATCCCTCCTGGTGGGTTGTGCAAATGGCCTGTTGGAGATTTCTGCCACTCTATTCAATGTGATTACCAGCCTCTGCTATGACACCTTGATATACATCCCATCTGAGGAGCAGGAGCCTGACTCTTGACCCTGACCCTAGTTGTCATGTAAGAGGTTGGTGAAAGCTCCTTGCTTACAGAGCAAGGAAGAAATGGGCAGAATGGCCATCATTTCAATGACTAAATCTTGCAGTCCTCACAGACTTTTAGTTCTCCCCCAGTCAGTAAGTCAATGTTGTATTGTGATGGGAGTCAGTGTCACTACAGTTTGGAAGATCTGAATGAACAATAACAAAAGTTAAGCCAGTTATTGGATATTATGGAACTTTCCTTATTTCATTGCAAAAGCAACGGGAATTCTCCAGACCTCTCCTCAGGACATTACAACTGCAGAGGGCTCAGAAAAGATTTTCCAGGATGTTGCCAAGAATGGAGGGTTTGAAATATAAAAATAGACTGGAAAGGCTCAGACATTTTCCACCAGAGCATGGGAGATTGAGGGGTGGCCTTATAGAGTCATAGAGATGTATAGCATGGAAATAGACCCTTCAGTCCAACTCGTCCATGCCAAACAGATAGCTTAAATTAATCTAGTCCCATTTGCCAGCATTTGGCTCACATCCTTCTAAACCCTTCCTACTCATGTTCCCATTCAAATGCCTTTTAAGTGTAATTGTATTGACCTCCACCACTTCCTCTGGCAGCTCATTCCATACATGGACCATCCTCTACGTGAAAAACTTTCCCCTTAGGTCCCTTTTAAATCTTTCCCCCTCACCTTAAACCTATGCCACCTAGTTTTCGGTTCCCTTACCCTGGGTTCTTGATGTTTATAAAATCATGAGGGGCATAGATAAGGTGATTGATAAGAGTCTTTTTCCTAGGGTGGGGTAGTTCAAAACTTGGCAAACTGTTAAGGTGGGAGGAGAAAGATTTAGAAAGGACATAAAGGACAACTTTTTACACAGAGAGTGATTCGTGTGTGAAACGAACCACCAGAGGAAATGGTGGATGCAGGTACAGTTACAATGTTTAAAAGACACTTGGATAAGTACATGAGTAGGAAAGGTTTGGAGGGATATGGCCAGGTGCAGGCAGGTGGGACGAGTTTAGTTTGGGATTATGATCAGCTTGGACTGGTTGGATGGAAAGGTCTTCTTCTGTGCTGTGTGACTCTATGACATAAGAGTCTACGGCACAAGAGTCTACGGCACAAGAGCTGGACATGAGCCTGCTCTGAACTGGAATCTATCAATATTTCTCTCTGCACTCTTCTCTGTCCTGATATTACTAACTTCCCTTTCTGTGCCATTCACCTCAACAGCTTCTTGTGGTAATGAGATCCACATTCTCCCCATTGGGTAAAGTCTGTGTCAGCTGAATTCCTTACTGGATTTATTAGTGACTATTTTACATCCATGGCCTCTAGTTGTGGATTCTTAACTACTGAAAACAACCTCTCCACGTCTACCCTACAAGACCCTGTCAGAAATGTGCTTGAAAATACAGCTTCAGACTGCTCATTCTTCCCAGTTGTAAGGGTCACTTTGTTCCCCTGTGACTCCACAGTAATAGGGCTGACTAATTAATAAATTCAACTAATTATAAAAATCCAGTATTAAAAGTTAATCTCAGTGACATTGGTCACAAACATGCCACTGATTACTGTAAAAGTCCGTCTGGTTCACTAATGTCCTTTAAGGAAGGAAATCTGCTGTTCTTACACAGTCTGGCCTACGTGTGACTCCAGATCCACAATGAGGTGGCTGGCTCTGATAAGACAGAGCAAGGGATACAGCCTATGAAAGAATGGTGAAAGGAGCGGGACTTGAGGAAAATACTGTCATACCTGTAGGATGTGTCCTCCTAAGTGCTGTTCAAATAACTCAATGGCCAAGGAAGTGGAGCTTCTCCTCTGCTGGGATCCTATTGCTGAAAATAAGATGAAACAGCATCAATGCAGAGATAGAAGACTGAAACCACATTTTTACAGTTTGCTGTAAATCCTACTTAATCACAACCAGGAGAATGCCAGTAATGATGAGGATCCTGCGCAGATGTAAGGGCATGTTGGGTTATTATTGCCACTCATTTTCCCATAGTCTATCCCAAATTATGGCTCAGTCAGTTGAACTTTTACCCCTGGACTGGAAGATCGAATGCTCCCCTTGAAGCTTGACCTAACCATCTACACTGACTCTAAACAGGGTGGCATACAGGTGATGCCACTGGACCAGACAGCTAGTTTTATACCCTGGGGACATAGGTTCAAATCCCACCACAGCAGTTAATGGAATAAAAATTTTGTTTAATACATCAGGAATTGAAAGTTGGTTTCAGTGATCATGACAATGAAAATGATAATCAATTGTTATAAAAACCTCTCTGGTTCAATGATACCTTGGGAGCGGAACTCTGCCATCCACTTGGTCTGGCCTGCATGTGACTCCAGACCCACAGCACTGTGTTTGACCCCGAACTGCCCTTTGAAATGGTCTGATAAGCCACTCAGTTCAAAAGTGATTAGGGGTGGGGAACAAATTTGGCCAGCAATGCCCACAGCCCATAAAATAAAAAAAACATTATGGAATGTACTGTCTTTACAAAAAGGTTTTCTAACAAGGGTTGGTGGATTGATGCAATGGTAGGGGGTGCTATTTCTGGCAGAATACATTCCGAGAGGGATCATCCCATGGTCTCTGACCTCCAAACACCTAGCTTCTATACTCCCACTTGTCACCTGACATACGCAATAGCACAGTGATCTGACCAAATGGAAGGTGACCAACTCTTGTCAACAGGATGCCAATCAAACAACCTTCCCCATCCCCCCTCTCTGACATTTTTATAAGGGCTCAAAGAAATAGTCTGATGGCTCTGGCAGGACCTGCTACCTGCCATAGCTCAGAGTTCAATGGGCTAGCTGTGAACTCTAGGGTAATAGAGGAAAATGATGGCCTGCTGGTATTACCACAAGACTATTAACTCAGAGACTCCATGTAATGATCGGGGAATCTGAGTTCAATCTCCACCATGCAAAGAGTGGAATTTGAATGCAATTTTTAAAAGAAATCTCGAATTAAGAGTCTAATGATGACCACCGACCACTGTTGACCATTGGAAAGTCCATCTGATTCACTAATGTCCTTTAGGGAAGGAAATCTTTACCTGGTTTGGTCTATATGTGATTCCAGACCCACAGCAATATAGTTGACTCTTAGCTGCCCTCTGGGCAATTAGGAATGGGTAATAAATGCCTCTCTAGCCAGTGCCGCCCACATCCCCTGATTTATTTTAAAAACGACAGTCATGGAAGAATGACAACCAACAAGTCAAAGGACAGTTTTGTATGAAAATCTGGAAAATATAAACCTACATCATGAATAATTGATATAGAGATAGTAGGAACTGCAGATGCTGGAGAATCTGAGATAACAAGGCGTAGAGCTGGATGAACACAGCAGGCCAAGCAGCATCACAGGTGCAGGAAAGCTGACGTTTCAGGTCGAGACCCTTCTTCAGAAATGGGGGAGGGGAAGAGGATTCTGAAATAAATAGGGAGAGAGGGGGAGGCGGATAGAAGATGGATAAAGGAGAATATAGGTGGAGTGGAGACAAACAGGTCAAAGAGGCGGGGTTGGACCCAGTAAAGGTGAATGTAGGTGGGGAGTTAGGGAGGGGATAGGTCAGTCCAGGGAGGATGGACAGGTCAAGGAGGCGAATGAGGTTAGTGGGTAGGAGATGGGGGTGGGGCTTGAGGTGGGAGGAGGGGAGGAAGGACAGGTTAGGGAGGCGGGGACGAGCTGGGCTGGTTTTGGGAGGCGGTCAGGGGAGGGGAGATTTTGAAGCTTGTGAAGTCCACATTGATACCCTTGGGCTGCAGGGTTCCCAAGCGAAATATGAGATGCTGTTCCTGCAGCTTTCGGGTGGCATCATTGTGGCAATGCAGGAGGCCCAGGATGGACATGTCATCCAAGGAGTGGGAGGGGGAGTTGAAATGGTTCACGACCTGGAGATGTAGTTGTTTGTTGCGAAACGAGCATAGGTGTTCCGCCCCACTCCACTCCCCCCATCCCACTCACACTGTCCCAGAGCAGTAGTCGGGTTGTTTGATTCAAAGTCTTCAAAATGTTGGTGAGAGGGCACCTTCATGGTCATTCCCACACTCCACCACACCCTCTGTTGCTCATTCATTTTTATTTATTAACAGGATGAGGGCATCACTAGCTAGGCAACATTTATTGCCCATCCCTAATTGTCCAGAGGGCAGTTCAGAGTCAACCACATTGCTGTGGGTCTGGAGTCACATGTAGGCCAGATCAGGTAAGGATGGTAGTTTCCTTCCCTAAATGGCATTAGTGAACCAGATGGGTTTTTACAACAATCGGCAATGAATTCTTGGTCATCATTAGATTCTTAACTCCAGATATTTTTATTGAATTCAAATTCCACCATCTGTGATTTGAACCCGGGTCCCCAGAATGTTATCTGGGTCTCTGGATTAACAATCCAGCGGTAATACCACTAGGCCATTGCCTCCCCTTGCATATGACCTCTAATTGGCCCTCTGGTTTTGAGAGCCCACTTTCCACCCTTATTTTGATAGGGAGACTGTCTCAAGGTCGATTAAGTAGTTGTCTCTGTGAAGACCCCCATCAGTGCCTGTTGTGCCATCCATCCCACGATAGGTTTGAGATCCAAAAGCAGTCCTGGCTCCTGTTTCTTACCCCTCCATAGAAATATCCAGCCTAAAATGTCAAAATTCATTACATGACATATAAAAAACATATAGGATAGGAGCAAGGGTAGGCTATTTGGCCCCTCAAGCCAGCTTCACCATTCAATAAGATCACGGCTGATCATCCAACTCAGTCCCCTGTTCGCGCTTTCTTCTTTTTTTGATCAAAAGTTGTGCAGAGTTAGGTGGGAGGGTGAGCTGGGAGGAGGATGATGCAGAGATGCTTCCGTGTGGTTTAGAGAAGTTGAGTGAGTGGGCAAATGCATAGCAGATGAAGTATAATGTGGATAAATGTGAAGGCATTCACTTTGGTAGCAAAAACAGGAATGCAGATTACTATCTGAATGGCAGAGACTGGGAAAGGGGGAGGTGCAAAGAGACTAGGGTGTCCTTATACAACAGTCACTGGAAGTAAGCATGCAGGTGCAGCAGGTGATGAAGAAGGCAAATGGTATGATGGTCCTTTTTTTGGCAATAGTGCCATGGAGCTAACAGTGGCTCCAAGCAAATGTGGCCGTAATACTGAAAAAAATCCACTTATAGATGAAGAAATCACTTTTTAAAATATTTAAAGGCAATGGCTTCTGAAAAGTTGCTGTAGACACAAGCGTTCAGTCCATTGTACCCTGTGCTAGCCAGGTCCCCACCTCAACAGTGTAGAGGTAGGGTTTAATGAATAGGTAGATAAACCTCTCAGGTGATCTCAGTGGTCATGTGCTGGTACTGCTAGAAGATCAGAGCATGATGCACCTTAGCCCTACCATCATGTACAGTCTATTATTAAATGTCGTTTAAAAGTAACCTCAAAGTGCCTGACCTTATATGAAGATCTGAAGAACTCACACTAGAACGCCCAGTAATTATTCAGTCTGCTCTTATTCCCCTTGTTTCTCTTCCCTTAACCTTTTAGCATGTTTATTTTGTTATTTTGCCAATTGATTACCTGCTTCTCTCTGGGGCACCACAACAGAGCTCCCTTCAACATCACAATCTCTTTGGGCGAGAACCATTTTGCTAGAGATTACATTTAACAGGAAAGGCTGGATTGGATTTTCACCTTTTCACTAGAAAACTGAAGGCTGCACAGTGACAACCTGATAGAAGTCTCTAACATTATGAAACGATTTGGTAGGCGAAACACAGATATGTTTCCATATAATGGAGATTCGAAATCAAATAAATAAACACAACTTTGTCATAGTCCCATACTCTTATCAGGGACAGAGATGACCAGTCATGACTTAACCTAAGGGTAACCACATCTCAGGCAAGGAGCAAAGTGGGACCTGCATGGTAACCTCATCTGTGCAGGAACTGAACCTGTAGTGGTGCTATCCTACTGCAACAGAAACCAGCCATTTAGCCAACTGGGCTGACTTAGCCATGAAAGATTTGGGCTCCTTCAACCTGAAAACTTTGAGGACTGCAAAAGTAATGCACAAGGATACGAGGGAAAAGGCAGGAGACTGGCACCAGGTAATGGTGCTCGTTTTGATGAGCCAGAGCAGGCATGACAGGCTGAATGTCCTCCCTCTACATGCTGTAATATTTCCTGGGATTCTGTCCAGTTACACTGGCTCAGGCGTTCCAGTGATGGCCCACACAGTTGAATAGTTAACTGCTGTGATGAGGTGTTTTAAGCTAAAAAGTCTCAGTCCCCACCCCCTCACAAACACATCACCACAGCAGGCAAACAGCAGCATCATCAAAGGAGACATTTTGAAATGTGGCAGAAACAATCGGAATGCTTAATGTCACAGACTGCTGCTTGGTCTGTCCATGAGGCAAGCTGCAGCTCTGAAACCTGGCCCTCAGCTTCTGCATAGAACGTGCTCCGACAGCCCGATGAGGTGGTGCTGCTTAAATATTCTCAGCAACTAACTAAACAAACAAACATCGTGTATCCCGGTCACGCTCTAGTGATTGATTGACTGGCAGGTCTCAGTGGAAAGTGTGGTGCGAATATATAATAAAAAAAAGCCTGGTTTCATCACATCCTTTTACTGGATAAACAGAGCATCAAGCCGACCTTCTTGGGTCCAAGAAGCTTTGTTTCAATTTTTTAAAATTTAACTTACTTTTCTAATCAACCTGTTCAGAGATGCTATTATATATTCACTTGAACCCAGGCCTCCCAGTCCAGGGGTAAGGACACTACCATTGTGCCACAAGAGTTT